GATGAAGATGACGATGACGATGACGACGATGACGTTGATGATGGTGACGATGAGGGATGAAACAGTGCAAATGCTCTAAGTACTCCCATTGAAGATCCGAACAGACAGGAACAACTCAGTCGGATGAATGCTTCACTATGGCGATAAACAGAACCCAGAGGCAGGAGCTAGTGACCCGATGCTGCACTGAACTAAGTTGCAGGCCTGCGGCTGGACACGCCCAGGGCAGTGCCCCATGAGTCAGCAGAGCGTACATGCCGGCATCGGCAGCATGAGGGTGGAGATTCGGTTGAAAAAGTTTGTTTCAGTCTTGAAAGACCGAGGCAGCTCATGGAACTGTGTGTGTGTGTGTGTCTTCATTGCGAGTGGTTGGATGGACCGCTGACCAGAATTTGAGGTGAGGCTGCTACAGTCTAGAACCAAGAGCTTGGCTTCCATTGCAGACTTTCGGCACGTGGGCTTCGGATTTGGAGGCTTTGCCACGTTTGAAACCCCAGTAATGATGGAAGAACGAGCCTTGAGCTACTGACTACTGGGGCTGCCACCAGCCGGAATAATGCCACACATGACATGTGTGAGCACAAGACCGCGGAAGCCACGTCCTCCGCAGCTGATACTGGGACTTGCATCGTGCGCATGTCTGGCCTGGGAAACTGAAGACAGCTAAGGACGCCTGCTGATCTGCTTGAAGAAAAAGTCTGAGCTCTGTCAGGGGGCTCCTTAGAAGCTCCCTGCGAGTCCCGAGCGCTGAACCACACTTCCGGCAGCTGCGCTAAAACACCGGGCTCTCACGCGAGCACCGGCTCGAATTGCCATGCCTCAGCCGTAGCGGCTGTAGATCTCCGTCAAGGAGGCCTGTGCCAAGGCAAGCCACTCGCCATACAGGGACGACGACACCTGGAATCGGAAAAGCGTCGCCAAAAGCATGAGATTGGGCAGCCTTGACCAGCAATGGGAAGGTGGTGGCACTCCTCTCCAGATCCTGCACTTGCACCAGTGGAGTTCCCGGAGAGTTCGCATGCACGAAGTAGGCTCAAAAGGCTTGACTAATTTTCGACTGCAACAGGCCTCCAGATAAAGCACGACCTGGGCATCGCCATGTCACACCGTGCATCCCTCCGTGTCTATGCTCAAATCCCACACTCTTTTCCCTTCTCGGGTCTGCTGTCCAGGTGCAGCTTTCTCGAAGATGGGTTTCACTCGGTGGTGGGCCAAGAACTCCTTCACCACCTCCGCAACGCGGAATCGACACCGGCAAGTCGGAAATGTCCTTTCTAGGCCCCCCCCCCCCCCCCCCCCGGCCGAGTTGTAATCTGAGCTCGTCTGCCAAGGCGAGACCGTGAGCGTAGCGCGACCTCAAAGAGAGCTTCACAGCAGCCGAAAAGTGCCCGAAACCTGCTGAAGCTACACTGCTGTACATTGCTTCGCCAGGCTGTACGAGGAAGGCACCACTGCTGGCAGGACCTGCAGCGGCAGGAGTCGGCAGGAGTGTTCGAATGGCTGCCCGGCTGCAGTCGATCAGCTTTCAAGCTATGCCAAGCTATGCTCACCTGTCACTTACCCAAGATCGCATGATTCGCATCCTCAAAGCCGAGAAAAGCATGTTTGCCAAGCAGCCAAGGTCAATCTCCGCAGCGATGAGCACCGACGGCACCAGAGGCGTGGCTTCGCAGAAGCTCGGCGCTGCGCCTTCTTGCACTCGGCTTGGAGCGCCGGGAGTGTCGGGGCAGCTTGGAGCTTTGGGGTACACCTCGCGACTGCTGGCTTGAAGGCCGGAAGGGTTCGTTGGCTCTGTGGGGCGTGGAAGTTTCAAGCCGAACACTTCCTTCAAAACAACAGAACCACTCGGCCTCGCCTGCCCCATGGTCAGCACCGGGCTCGGGTGTGCTGCGCCCTGCCGGCGGTGGACTTTCCAGTGCCGTTTCCGCTTTGACAAGCTGCGAGCCTCGATCATCCAGTGTGAATGCAGGGCTTGACCATCCTTCCTGCGGCAAGGACTCGCCATGACGCAGGACAACAGGGGGAAGATGCGGGAAGCTGAGAGTTGCTAATTATATGCTTTTTTTGGATATCAAAATATACTTTTAAGGAACTCCCAAAATAGTTATTCTCCACAGCCCCTAGCATCCCCCAGCCACGTTGAGCAAGACTTCAGGGTCGTAGCAATCCTCGGTCGTCCGGCGGCCCAAGGCCCTGAAAACCTGGCCCTTCAAGACAACCCCTTCCAGGATTCTGGAGCTCTTTTTACTCTCACGGCCTGCAGCCGCTCAACCCCAAGCCCTAAGCCCTAAGCCCTAAACCCCAAACCAAGCCCTAAACCCTAAGCCCT